TAGATAAAAATAATGAAAAAGAGATATCTCTGCGAAAGAAACTGTTCGAGGAGCAGACAGGTGATGCTTAGGGTAAAAAATGGGCCGTTTAAATTTAGGATGACGGAATTATCTTTAGAGATAAGACACGAAAAAAGGCAGTTGTGGAATTTAACATGCTTACTAAAAAAAATCTCTTCATCAGCGAGTTGACCTTGGACGAGGCGCTCCTATACTTGTATCCTACTTTGTCGGAAATGTGATCGCGAGCTTCGTAAAAATCTAACATATACTGGATTAATAGAAGAATTTGGTGAAACTGGAAGTCAAAATATAAGATAAAAAAGGAAGGCGATGGTTCGAGGTTGCGGTCATAAATAGGCTAAATAGCGGCAAAACTATTTTATTAAAAGCCAACGTTTCGACCCAACTTTGCAGGTCTTCTTAAGGGCTAGAACGGAAAAGATACAAAAAGATATAGAGAAGTGAGGAAGTCATATAATTTATTTAGACAAAAAATTATAAAAGAATGTGCATAAACTTATTTACGTTTTACATTTTTTTTTTCTTTTTTTGTTACTCACATTGTACTCTTATCTATAATTTCTTAATTCTATTTGATATGTATACATCCGTATCTTCAAATTTTAGATGCTGGAACGTCCCAGGTTTTGTTATGGTTTTACTACTTACTCCCTAACCATTTCCCAAACAGGTCATAAAATTTCCCCAACGTACTTACTCAGGTTTTCTAATTTTAAGTGAAACTCCTAGCTGAACTCACCTGTAAGTCTCTATTTTTATTCTTTTAATTTTATTTACTTAGATTTTATTTTTTGGTTTTTCTATTTTCTTTCCTTTCTCCAATTCCCTTTATGTCCATTTTTGCATATTATATCGTTTTTCCTTTTCTTATAATCTCTGCTGTAGATCTGCAGGAGTATATTTACAATTGAATATATTATATTATTCATTTATTTATATTTTATATTTATTTATTTATCCAATTTTAAATGATTTAAGTGACCATATCCTTTTGTCTATATTCATAGGACTATGTTACTTGCTGTGTGTGCGTTCTAATTTTCTGCTTTTAAAACTTTGGCATTCGAATACCTGAATATTCTTTTTTTTTTCCCTATAAATTTCAGAAATTGCCTTTACCCGTTTTACAGAAATATGTATATATTGTATAATTGCAATAGTGTGTATTAGTATATTATAGTATTGATATTCTTTATGCTGTGTAACATGAAAAACAATTTGTATATATATAAAAATATGGTTAAGTATAATGAAGAGAAGAATAGTTGGGGTGTTCAGTCAAAAAGGAAGGCAAAAATAAATGATAATATTTTTTTTTTACATATGCCGACGTTTCGACCTGAAGTTCAGGCCTTCATCAGGACTAAGAAAATAACCAGATAACAAGGTATGAGAAACATAAGTAATGATGGTAAAAAAGATAATAAAAAAAAAAAAATTATTAGAAAAACGAAATAGATAAATATAAAGTAAAATGAAATTGTTAAAATAATGACTAAGAACTAAGAGATAAATAATAAAAACCGTTACAAAGTGTGGAATGATGAAGTAGGCATAATCAAAAAGGGGTGACAAAAGTGTTACAATGGGAATCTTAGAATAAAATGTAAAACATTACCAATTATGGTTAAGTATAATTAAGTGCTATGTTAAAAAAAAAGAAGGATTGATGAGTATGCTGTGTATCGAGCAGCCCTATATAGTAGGTCACTGCTTTAAAGAAAGTATTTCTCTCTCTATATATATATATACTACAACAATTGTTACCATCTATTTACTTCAGTTTAGGATCTTGTTACTTAGCTTACTCTGTTTATATTTTAATGTATTTACTGTTTATAATTTTGATAAGTTTATTCACATTGCTTTATAATTTTTTGTCTATATATTATGTAACTTCCAGAATTCTCTATATCTTTCTGTATCTTGTCCGTTCTATCCCTGGAGGCATCACACCGACTTCACTGAACCCAGCTGTCCAGCCCTGATGAAGATCTCCAAAGTCGGGTTGAAACGTTGGCTTTTAATAAAATAGTTTTGCCACTATTTAGTCTACTTATGACCGCCACCTCGGACCATCTCCTACTGTGGAGTGAAATTTAATTACTTAAATTTTTTATGTTATTGCTTCATATTCAACAAAAAACTTTAAATACAAAAAGGTAAAATAAAAAGCTAAAAAATACAAAAACATTTAAATTTAATTTTTTTGTTGTTGGAAATGGGGCAATTGTTTATATGATTTTTTTTTGTAGATTATGGTGCTTACTATCAACTTTTTAAATATTTCCTTCTGCTTACGGGACCTCCTATATATGAATACGGTTTTCATAAAAAGTTTTAAATTTCTCTGAGGGAAATTTATTCAAAAGGGAACATTTGAATAAAATTCCACTTTTAAATTTAAAATAATTTTAAAAAGGAACGAAGAACTCTGGAATCTGGTATCCGGGCGTATGGGCACAGTGACCTGACTGACTACTAAATTTTAAGCGAGTAATAAAATAAAATAAAATTAAACAATAAATGAATAAAAAATTGTGACAATAATGGATTGCTAAAGGAAAGATGTTGGACTAAATGGTAAAATGTTGGACTCATTTTAATCGATATAATAATTGAAGGTCAGGATCTAGGACGAATTTCTCCATCTTCTTGAAAAGGAAGAGTTAAAGGTCGAGGCAACGAATCAATGCTTTATTTTCTTCATCTCTCAGATGATTTTATTTGCTCGCCATTTTTATCCAAATAAGTTATTTGTTTTGGTAAGTTTGCTATCGTTCACATAACTAAAAATAATTTATATTTAGGTCCCAGGCGATGAGATTTCTTCAAATGCCTTGCCAATATTGGTATATTAAGTTGAGAGGTATCAGTTTCAAATTGTGATTAATCCCGAATAGGGAATAAAAATGAAGGAAAACACCCAAATATTGACAATAGTGCAACATTATTCGCGATACAGACCCTTTTTATTAAATTATTAATATCCATTTAAAACATCTTGAATGGTTTCATCTTATCTTAAACTAAAAATTTTTTACCTACGAAAATTATCATAAATCCTTCGTTTTCTCATTTTATTAATTAATTTAATAAAATATTAAAAACTCAAACATATTCATTTTATTTCGACTTGAATTATAAGATAATTTGATCACAAAATCGAGAAACATCGTGGCCTACAAATATATTGGGTCATTTAGCTCGTATAACCTCGTTATTTTGGAATTCTGTGAGTTGAGGTCCCGTCAAATGGCTCAATATGTTTTTCAGGCAACGTTTTTCTCTATTTTGTCATGATATTATCTTATAATTCAAGTGGAAAGCAAGTGGGTATTCATGAGATTTAGTAACTCATTAAATAGACGAAGTTAACCGATTTCTATATTTAAAACGCACTATTTCCGAGAATTTTGGTAGATAAAAATGCTTCAGACTAGGATAAGATAAACTTTTAGAAAGGTGATAATAATTTAATAAAAATATGTCTGTACTGCAGACCATATCTCATAAAATTAAAACAAATTAAGTAATACTGTATATATTTTATTGTAACATTCAAAATGGTTTGAATGAATGTAAAATTATCCTTACCTTATTTTAAATTTAAATTTAAAAGTCTTTTGACGAAATAATTTTTTAGGAGATCACGTAATTTTTCAAAAAAATATGGTAAATCTCTTCAACGGCCAATATATATTGCTTTATATTAAAATAACATTTCGCACTCAATTAGTCATTAATAGACATGAATAAGTAAATTACACTGAATGACACCTAGAAATTTTAATAAGCAATGAGGCATAATTTCCAATCAATGAATTGATTTGTGACAAGGTTAATGAATGTATGAAGGCTTAAATCGTACTGCTTTTACATTACAATGAAGTATAAATCATACACGATAATATAAAAGAAAATTGAATGTAGTCTTTCCAATAATTCGAAAATATGTGTATATATATATATATATATATATATATATATATATATATATATATATATATATATATATATATATATATATATATATATATATATATAGTTTTTTTCTCTTTAACTATTTATCCACACCTCTCATGGTATTCACAATCAGCAGAAGTATTGTGATGATAAATGGCATTATTGGCGTGAGGAAGGATAGTAACCAGCAGCACCTCTTCCTCGTCATTATTTACTTCCTTGATATAGGTGAGGGGATCTCTCATCCAGCTCCTTTTTAGGCTCCTTCTGATGGGCATTTCAGTCGTGGCCATGTCGTTTATAAGTCCGTTTGGTGTCCGTGTAGTTAGAGATAAAAACGAGAGTAGAGAGTACGTATGTGTTGATCTATAGATGGTTGTCGTGAGTCGTTATGTAAAGTTTTGTTGTTGACGTACCAGGGAGCTCCTATTATAAGTCATAAAATTTTGGATTGAAATGACTGTTGTTTTTGTCAAAGGGCCTCAAAATACGGATACTATTTGCTTTCAAAATCATACAAACACATACATCATAAATTGAAAATGAAGAAATTTGATAAGTAATACTAAATAAAACCTTTGTTTAAAAAAAAAAAAAAAAAAAAGGTATTATGGTACTTTTGATCACAAGTACGTTTAATGAGATTTTTTCTTATTTTATATACACACTTAACAAAAAATATAATTAGATAATAAATATAGAGTAAGTACTTAAGTAGAGACAAGAATGATAATTGTTAAGGTCAATTTAGCTATTGACCATAATGTGAATAATTCGTAAATGTACTTCAATGTATACGTTTACTATAAACATAATATGTGTTAATAGCAAATTTAAATTACACCATTATGGTTTTAACATCTTCGTGTTTAGGTTCAAAAACATCTAATTTACTTTCATATTGTTTATTGAATATTACATTATTTTTTTAATTTATTTTGGACATTAATAATGATATATTTTCCTTATGTCAGTATCCTTCTGTGATGATCCACTAATAAAAAAGATATTTACTGATGTATATCGCTCATCTTTTTGAAAGACATAACAGCAGTGATGGTGCTCGCGACGAACTGTAACAGAATAAATTGTATTTTATTTTATTAATGAATTATATCTTCATCATATAACCATATATAATAACATCATATAGAATCAAATAATTTTATTTTAAAAAAAAATTGCGCACGTAGCTTTCATATGGTACTGCTAGAGCTCCATTGTGTTAAGATTTGGTACCAAAACCCGCAAACCACAATCTAAGATTATGAGATTTTTTAATTCATTAACATGTAAGGATTTTTTTTTACATACATATTTGGTTCTAAGCTTGTGAGAAAGTTCATGGACGGACTTTTTTTGTTGTGAGATTTTTTGGTTCTACGTATCTTTGAAAAGTAAAACCTCAAATTTTGATTCTAAAAATTATAGGTTGATTAAAAGGCTCTTTATTGATAAAAATGGACAAATAACACCTTTGTTAAAAGCAGGTGGTGTTTTATATTTCTTAGAAGCAATAGTATATACTTTGATATTCACTCCATATACTTTAGTTCTTAGATCGTACTTTTCAAATTGTTCATTCCGAAGAGCTTAACCATCGATTTGTACAGCTATTAAAAGAAAGCTAATGTTCATAAAATATCATACTTCAATTGAATACAAGCAATTCATCCACAAAACCATGTTGAAATTTGGGATCTACGGACTTGAACTGTGGTTGTTTATTGACTAAATATTAGGAATATCAAATACATCCATTTCTTAAAGTGAAAAATACTTAAAACAATAGTGAATGCTGCATATTATGTCACAAACAAGACCTTACATCATCACCTTAACATCCTATATGTCCTTGATATTATTTAAGATTTTCAAGCTTTTACTAAAACGTTATAAATGGATAGATTATATATGAAATTATAATGACATGAATCTTTAACATAAATGTGAACAGTTAACATAAATCTGCCAACGTTTCACCAATGCAGACATCATCAGTAAATAAAAAACAAGATCGCATATATGTCTCAGCAAGCCATCCAAATACATACTGAGGGAAACAGAATGTTCTATAAACATAGCAGAGAAAAGTAATATTAAACAGCTGATTGGTAGGGATAAATGGAAAATAAATACCCATATCTAAAATATAATTACACAAAAATTTGTAAATAAAATAAAATTAAAAAATAACATCAATAAATATAAAAAAAAAAAGCAGAAAAATGTATATATCATCCATACTCAAGAAAACTCAATGGATACACAGCTACTCCACAAATAATATTACTAGAATAAGTACGTAGCTCGAAAAGTGACATACAGTGATTACGTAATAAATAAAAATTATACACTATAAAGCCACGAGTGTTTTCTTTTTGTTTTATTTATGCATATTACGATCTTGTTTGTTTGGCTCGATGACACCTGAATTGACGAAACGTTGGCAGATTAAGTATTTACCTTTATGTATTTTTTCGAGCTGTATGCTTAATGAAACAGGTTTCTGTATCTGTTTAAATTAAACAGCTTGTGTATGTGTTTCGGAAAGCTATTTAGTTAAACAGATTCAGTGTTTCTCTTTTTTCCCGTCGGTATCGCTGTCTCCACCTACTAACCCTGTACTCAAGGTCAATATAACTACCAGATTCGCTCAGTTAGAAATGCGTGGTGGGGGAACTTGGAATGTGACGTAAGGAATAGACTGTGAGACTTACCTATTACTCTTTCAAGCCTATCAATGAAGGCTTATTTTAACATTATTGTGTTTTTTTTTTATTTTCTTGTTTAATTTATTGAGAAGAATACTTTTCTGTGTTTTTGATGTTTGATTGAAGATAATTTCAAGCAGATAAATAAATAAATATGGCTATTAATATTGAATAAAATTCTATGAAAAATATAGGCCAGGCCTGAAACGAAAAGAACGAAATTGATATTAAGATTATTTATAAATTCTTTATTTCAAAATCTCTGTAAATAATATATAAAATTATTGTTTGTTTGTTTGCTTCGATGTCTAGGAGCAAAACATCCAGGTCATAAGCGCCCGATCAACTAAATAACATCACTTAATACTATTTGGATGGTTGGTACAAAAAAATATATAAATAAATAAATAAAAAAATTAAAATAAAAAATAAATAAAGAAATGGATTGATAGAATAAAATAAATAAATAAGGATAATAATAGACATTTATAGGTAATAAGATAGAATGTATAAATAAATAAACTTTAAAAAAATAGCAGTAAAATCAATAAATGAATTGAGATTAATAAACAAATGAATTTAAAATGAAATCAAAGCAAATGAAAAAAAAAAATTAATAGAGAAAATATAATAAAAATAAATACATAAAAAAATTAATAAATAAAAGAATAATAATAAATCTACAAAGGATCATTAATTATAAGCCTGTCATATGTGTTTTTTTCATAAACCTTTTTTCATACGTGTTCATAAGTCTTTCACTATCTAGGAAATAAAATTATAATTATTATTATAAAATTATTACATAAATAGAAAAAACTAAGATTTATATTTATTTAGAGAACATTTTAGCACAATGTTTGTGTAATTTTGTTTGTAGATCTCGTGGGCATTTCTTTTAATATTATAACGATATTATAATAATATTATAAGGGTGAAGATCTTTGTCAGGATTTGCAGTCAAAATTTATTTAAATAAATTATATATAAACAAACATTTCTTTAAATTTAATTTAATTTAAAAAATAAACAAATTTTTTCTGCAAATCCTGATAATTTATTTTCACCTTATAATCTTAACAGCCAACTACTTACCCGTCTCTAAAATAATATTATAACGAGCATTTATTTTTAAAAACACGTTACAGACAATTCGTTTGTTCTTATTAGTATTTCTTGTATTTCTCATAATAACATAATTATTAATAGAATCTTATAGAATGCCAGGACAAAATTGCGCAGTTGCATCTTGCAACAATAATCTAATTGACGCAAAGAAGATTTTATTTCATACTTTTCCAAAGGACGCTCGAAGAAAAGATTCGATTTTAAAATGTAAAAATAAAACAAATATTGTAAAAATATTTACTATTTTTTTCTTAGGAGACAAAATGTATAAATTAATGAAGAAAGCCTTTCTTTCAGCAACGGGTATTTAATAGAATCAAATTTTTAAATACTCAATCATTTTTACAACAATTAAGAAAATATAAAAAAAAAGCCAAAAAACTTGAGAAAAATCACTACATAGGATTACTTATGACATAAAAATGTAATAATAATAATAATAAGGCTTAGCGAACCCGAAGGTTCGATGCCGACACCACCAATCGCTTGTTACACAGCTCCCTCCACCGTTCGCCGTCCAAACCCAGTCCCTTCAGATCAGCTTCAATGCAATCTTCCCACCTTCGCTTCGGTCTACCCCTCAGACGCTTACCATTCGGCACAGCAAATATTAACCTTTTAGGAATTCTCTCGTTACTAAGCCCAACAACTTTACAAGCCCATTTGATTCGCCGCGATGAAATTACCTCAATTATATTACCCGGATATAGCTCACGCAATTCGGCGTTGTGTAACCGTTCCTTCTTCGGTCCGAATATTCTACGCAATACTTTATTTTCAAAAACCTTAAGACGCTGCTCATCCCTTAATGTAAGCGGCCAAGTTTCGCATCCATAAAGAACTGTAGGCAAGATAATTGTTTTATAGATTCTAATTTTTAAGTTCCGGGACAAGAGGCGCGAACTGAGTAGTTTTGTCACAGAAAAATAACAAGCATTTCCCGCCTTCAGTCTAACCTTAATCTCTTCTTCAATTTCGTTTTTTCTAGTTATCGTAGAACCTAGATTTATCTACCTGTTCAAACATATTACCATCTATATCTATATCACCAGTAGTATCGCCATTTTTGCAGCTAACCATATATTTTGTTTTATCCACGTTTATTTCGAGTCCTAGTTCTTTACCGGCTTTCATTAACGTTGTCGTATTTAGTTTTATAGTTTCAACGTCTTCGCTTAACAGTACCAGATCATCAGATAGCCCAGCACGGATGTTGTCCCGCCCAGATCCAACCCTTTCTCGCTACGCATTACCTCCCTAATGGCATGTTCTAATGCCAAATTGAACAGGACAGGCGAAAGAGAATCCCCCTGTTTTAAGCCCGAACGAACCTCAAATTTTTCGGAAAAATTATTCCCGATTCTAACTTCATTTAGTGTCTCCGTCAAGCACATCCTGACTAGATTTACTAGTTTTTTTGGAATCCCCTGCTCGATTAGAATATTATACAGTTTCTGGCGGTCAATAGAATCGTAAGCCTTTTTAAAATCTATATACAGCTGGTGAACATTACCGTTATACTCCAATTTTTCTCTAATATTTGCCGTAAAGAAAATATTTAATCAATAGTCGAACGATTCCGTCTAAATCTGCATTGGTAGTCTCCGATAATTTCCTCGGCGTATTCCGTGATTCGACTGGTTAAGATTAAAGTAAATATTTTATAACATACCGGAAGGAGTGAAATTCCTCGATAGTTATTACAATCCGTCCTCGGACCCTTTTTGTGAATCGGAATAGGAATAGATTCTTTCCATTCTTCAGGTAATTTCTCGTTCACCCAGATCTTTTCAACCAACCGATGTATTTTAGAAACTCCAGCTTCCCCGCATGCCTTAATTAGTTCAGTAGGAATATTATCGATTCCCGCTGCTTTATATGATTTTAATTTCCCGATAGCTACTTCAATTTCCTCTTTACTTGGTCCTTCTATTAACGGTTCAGCATTCTGGTACTCAGAAGGAGGACACCGATCATAATTTCCCGTATTTAAAATATTGTCAAAGTGGTCCTTAAACTTATTCAATATGTCAACCGGATCGGTCAGAATATTGTTATTATCATCCCTAATTCCAGATGTTACGGGCCCTACATATTTACGTGATCTGTTTATACCTTTGTACATGTCTCTTACGTTATTTTCGATTCTATTAGTTTCTATTTCAATTATTTTATTTTTAAGATACTCCCATTTTTTTTATTTTTGAGCAATTTTGTCGTTTCGTTCTTTGAGATTCGGAAGTATTCCAGATTGTCTTCGCTAGGATTATTTAGAGCTTTTAATTTAGCGGCTTTTCTTTTTTCGCACATGTTTAAGCAATCTTCATCAAACCACGGTTTGTTATTCTTATTTTCATTTTTTCCTAGGCACGAGTTACCGACCGCTTTAATATTATCCCTGATGTCTACCCATAACTTGTCAATATCCTCGTGGTCCTCGTCTGGAAGCTCTAAAGCTTCAAACCTATTCTTAACATCTAGCTCGAATTGGTTTCATAAAAATGTAATATTTACATAAAAAATTACATGACATAAAAATGTAATATTTACAAAAATTCAGGGAAAGAAAACTCTTCTTTAATGTTAGATTAAATACTTTTTCTGTTTTTTCAATATTTCTATTATTTTATATTATGCTCTATATTTATATGAAATATTCAAAAAGTAGAATTGTGGTACTTTGCAAAAAATCATACATCAACTTGTTAAATTACATTTTATATGCTTCAGAATAAACCAAATATCAAATCAACCTTTCTCTCACCTTTCAAATTCATTAAAATTAATAAATTAATAAGTTATTTGGCAATACAGTATTGATTTAATGTAGAAAAGTAAATAATAATCTTAAAATGTCCAGAAGAAAATCAAATGCCGGAGTTCATCATCGTTTCGATCTGCACAGTTTAGAGATCTATTTGATGCCATCGATGAGTTCAGCACTGAATGTAAGAACCTGCCCCTTCCTAATGGAAGGCGATCCTTGTATCTGTTTAATCTTGAGGGAAACAGTTTAGCGTATCTGTTTAATGGTAGAAAATGTTTAAATTAAACGGATTCCTACAAAACACCTAACCACGGATCCTCTTTGGTCAGCCATGAGATCTTCTTGTAGCTGTAATAGACTCTCCTCCTCCTGTCTAACTATTCTTATCCCATGCTTGAGTACGCAATATTCGAGAGCTTTTAACAATTCCTACAACAATCTGATTTATATAACTGGTGACTATATATTTACCATGCCTAGAGACGTTCATTAATTTATTTATAGATAAAATCATATAGATTATGTGAAGGATTGTTATTCAAAATACTGATTCGTACGACTAAATAAACCACTTCAATCATGACATCATTCCTTATATTAAGGTTATTGTTTTCTGATTGAAGTGTAATCTTAAAAAAGTATAGAATAAGGAAAGAAGTCATACTTTATTACATAGTGAAAAAAATCATTCAAAACTTACTGCAAGAAAGGCTTCCTTGTTGAGTCTTAATGTGGGAGATTTAAAAGCTGTTATTTCGACTGGTTTCGAAGCCATGAGTAACATTGTGCGAAGTATTCCTTTATTAGTCTTATCCACTTCATACCATGGCGTCTTGTATATTTCCAGAGCAAGATTCTCAGCCTGAAAAAGGGTATTAAAGGTTTTAGGGTGGTAAAATTATATTTTCTAATAATCCAAAAAGTATCCTTTTGTTGGTCTATAGTGTATTTAAATTAAATTACAAAAACAAATCGTTAAAATTGGATAATTTGTTTTTCAAATTATTTTCCATACGTTTTTTATACATATTTTATGCAGGGTGTTTCAGGTTTAAGTGTCCAAACTGAAAATACGAACTAAGGACCTTAAAACAAGAAAAAAAATTCCTCTGAAGGTACGTCTGCAGACGCTTTGTTTAGGAGATATTCACACCTAAAGATTTTCATTGTTATGAATTATTTACGTTATATTAAGTAAATAAAACTTATTTATTTGTTCCAACTGCTTTATTAATTAAACATAAACGTTAAACTATTAAATGTTGTTCAAAGTGATTTGGTCTGGTGTTGACGAAGTTAAGGGGGCAAAAATACCATCAGCACGTGGTATTATAGCAAATGTACCAGTTTCTCTAAGACGGAGAAAAGTGGAGCTAAAGATAGATTTGTTTATCAATCTTCTATTCGGAAATCGCCTTACATATTCACGACGGGCAGCATTAGCATTACCATTGCAAAATCCTTATACAAAAACCATATCGGCATATTCACCATTAGTATAAATGGAAGGCATAATGATGAGTACTCTGCGAAAGCCTTTTACAAACTGATAAATGTTATTGAGAGTTCTCAATGCTTATTCAAAATAGTATTAATCCTTATTTTTCCAATAGTTTTAAAACAGTTAGGGATAAAAGGACATATTAATATTCTATCTAATCCATCTTCTAAACTAAGCGTTTGCGGACATACTATCACTTTGAATAACATTTAATATGAGTGTTAATGTTTACATTTAATTAATAAAATAGTTAGAACAAATAAATAGATTTGATTTCATATAAATAAATAATTCATAAGAAAAAAAATCTTTAGGTGTGAATATCTCCTAAACATAGCGTTTGCAGACAAATCTTTAGATGAAATTTTTTTTCTTGTTTTGAGGTCCTTAGTTCATTTTTGATTTCAGTTTGGCCACTTAACCCTGAAATATCCTGTATATATACTTAATTTAATATTACAAAACTCAACGGTAATTTGACTAAATATATTCAAAAAATATTCTTGTTAAATTCCAACTCTACCTCAACGCTGAAGACATCGTTGGTTGCGCATTGTAGATACAGCTGAAATATATTTACAGACAGGAAACTTATAAGTCCTAAACCATCGATCAATCCATCATCGCTCTAAAATGAATAAGAATTAATAATGAACTAGTTTATTGAAAAAATATTGTTATATAAATAAAATTTTAATTATTAAAATCAAATAATTGTTTACCTGGAGCTGTGCGAAAAGACATAAGACAACGGTACATATCAGATTTACGTAGTATATGCATATTACTGGCGTGTAGAGCGATATAAGTTCGCTGAAATTCCTGCGGAATAATTCTACAATAACAAGTGTTTATTAATGTAATGCAATCGTAATAAATATATACACTGACAGGCAAAACATTCCACCCACTTGATTTTTTCATGTTTTCATCTAAAAATATTTCTGCTTTGGGTTGGTCTATTGTTTTTAACGAATAAATAAGTAATCTTTTTGTTTGTTTTCAATTAGGAATGTTAATATAGAGGACTATAACCCTTAATCCTTAATTCAATGAAATGATTCTAGATTTCTATGTTTACTTTCTATGGAATCAAAATGTTTATTCAGTATCATTAGTTCAGTGCCGTTTCTTGCAGCGCATTTCTTAGTCTCCGGCTTTTAATTTTTTTAATATTAAGTTTAAAAATGCCTCTTAGTGCTGAAGGATGTTGCGCGTGGTGTGGCACTTATTGATGATGGACGTTCCATTAGATATGCAGCTAATGCCATCGGAGTTCCATATGAAACTTTACGAGACGCCGTCAGGCGTTTTCGGGAATCTGGTTCTTACAATAGAAGGCCCGGTTCTGGACGGCCTAGGGTAACAGAACCACGGGATGACCGGTTTTTGACTTTGAGAGTTTTACGAAACCGGCACCTTACCGTCGTTCAAGCGATTCATCAGCTCGAAGAAGTTCGAGGTGTGCAAATTTCTGAACGTACCGCTCGGAGAAGATTAAATGAGTATGGATTAATGGCTTTTCGTCCAGTAAGAGGACTAGAGTTGACCAGAACTCACAGAGTAACACGGCTGGGTTTTGCTCGAAAACACAGACATTGGACTATGGACGACTGGAGTGCTGTACTTTTTACAGATGAGTCAAGATTCGCTGTTCGATCTCCAGACGGGCGTGAAAGGGTGTGGAGAAAAAGAGACGAAAGATATTCAGCCTGTAATTTAGCCAAGAGCCAACCTTTCCAACGTGTTTCCTTAATGGGTAACAAGTGGGTGGAATTTTTTGCCTGGCGCTGTATAAAAAAAAGTCGAGAATTATTTAAAATCATAATTATTTGTTATAATCCCGAACCAGAGGTCAATAAACTGTTGCTGCTATCATATTTTTTCAGGTATATTGTTTATAATATAATATACAGGGTATCTCGTAATTAGAGGGAAATGTTTAAAATTGAAGGGAGCAGATCTCAAGAGCTGCAAAATGCTTATGTAAACTATAGTCCGATTTTCGGCAGAAAAGTAGAAATTAAAGTCTTGTATTTTTTTAAGTAAGTAACGTTTTTTGATAAATATAAAGCGATAACTAAAAGTGTATAAAATTGCTTCAAACTAAACAAGACGAAATTTACTTCAAACGAAATTAGAGTTTGTCATTGTTAAAGCTGTTTAAAGAAGACCTCCGTACGAATAAATTAAGCTAAGTTGTGTTTTTTAAAATCATAACTTATTCGTGATTTATTTTTTATCACCCTCCAACAATATTTCAGAAAAGCATTTTTGAAAAAAAAAAAAATAACAATTCTTGTTTAAAATAATACAATTATTGTTTTTTTTTTTAGTAGCGAATGAGAATCATGCTCGGGTATGTAACGCTCTTTCGGATAAAGTCAGCTCGAGTCGAATAATTGAAGTATTTTTGTATTTGAATTAAAATATCGCAAAAACTGAAACTTGGACCGGCATAATGTAAGCCAGAGAAATTTCTAACATTTCATCCTATTTGTCGCTATTGTTCAAAATTTTATCATAACGCAACGCCATGTTAGAGAGGCGAAAAGGGAAAAATATACCATCACAAAACAAACAACAACGACTTCTTCACACATTTGGACTAAAATATCTCAAAATTTTAATACTGTTAGAAAGAATACAGAAACCAATTTATTTTATTTTTGGATATAAAAACTTCCAGCTATACAAACAATTGGATTATTTGCTGATTTACATGTCAAGTTTACGTTTCATAAAAATTATTCCCATCTTCATAACTAAACTTTCATACTTTCATAGCGATTTATGGCTAGAAAAGAGGTAATTAAAAAAGAATACATGTTAAAGTTTTGTTGTTACATAAAATGTTATAATTACCTAAAGTCAGATGTGCTCCTTTGTCATGATTTGAAATTTATGTGGTATAAATATAATAAAAATATATTATCTGGAGCATCAACATTCCTTGGACCAATAATTAGGCGCCTGCTATGAGGGATACTGTTGACCTTCGGATATGCTTATTTACTCTTTTGCTATTGTTATTAAATGACTGTTTGTTATATAGCTATATTCCAGTATTACTATATTTTAATTTTATTTAAGATATCTGCATTATATGAATGTTGATGTTGATGCTCCAGATAGTATATTTTTATTATATTTATAACACATAAATTATAACATTTTATGTAATAACACAACTTTAACATGTATTGTAAAGCATTATTCTTTAATTACCTCTTTTCTAGCCATAAATGGTTATGAAAGTATGGAATTTAAGTAATGAAGATGGGAATTATTTTCCCGAAACGTCAACTTGACATGTAATACAACAAATAAAATAGTTGTTTGTATACTTGGAAGTTTTCACTGCCGAAAATAAAGAACATTATATAGCTTCTTCAGAAAAAAAGAATAAAAGATATATCTTTTTTTTATTAACCATAAAAATTAGAATTTATTTGTTTCTATTAGATTTTTTATTGCACTCGATAGCTTTTCGGTAAATTACTGACACTCATTTACAAATGACGATCAGTCAGAACAATGTTTACTAGAGTAATTTATGTTATTACTTTGTGAAAAGGTAACAAAAAAAAGTATATTTCATATTTATCTCGCCTAGTTGATGTTTTCACTTCTAACGTGTGGTCTAAAGCACCCGCTAGTTTTTAGATGAGGTCATTGCCTAGTACTAACGGATCCAGGATTTGATTTTAAGCGGGTTTCAGCCCGAAAGATTTTTTTTTGTATGTATATATTAGGATAATTACTTCGGAACAAAGAAAGAAACTAACTACCTATATGAAATGATGTTTGAATGATTCTTTAATTCCTATTAAATGTAATTAGACGAAAAATAATACTTTTAGAGATAATTTTTTTCTTTAAACTTGGTTATATTTTACCATTTTGGTGGGGGGGAGGGGAGAGGCCTTTAGCTCGAAAACACCTCCCCCCCCCCGTAGATCCACCTGTGTTGCACAGGTGGATTGTACAGGGGTGATTGTGATTCATACAGGGGTGATTGTACGAAACAATATATATCAAGTACCGTTAGGTCACTTTTGTGGAAGAAAGATATCTTAATACTCAACATTGAAAAACATTTAATATAAATGTTAATTTTTACACACATCAATTGCACAGAGTTACAGACTACATTGCTGGAGCTTTAGAACAAAAACTATATGCAACTGGAGTATTTTTGGATGTTGCTCAGGAGTTTGATAGAGTCTGGCACCAGGGTATTCTCTTTAAACTTAAGAATATACTTCCATACACATACTATATTATCCTTCAATCTTTCCTCTTCGACAGATTTTTTTCAGTTCGGCAGGGCTCGGAAGTGTCTTCAGTCCGTCCAATCTTGGCCGGAGTTCCCCAAGGTTCAATACTAGCCCCTTTACTTCACGTTATATACACTTACGATATACCTATTGACGATGAGATCTTGACAGCTACATATGCAGACGATACAACAATCCTCACAAAACATCAAGACCCTACACAGGCCTCACTAACTCTACAACATCATTTGCTCAAACTACAAGATTGGTTCACACTATGGAAAATTCGACTTAATCATGACAAATCCAAACATATACCATTTACTCTTCGAAAAAACACCTGTCCTCCAGTTTATATTGACAACAATCAAATTCTTCAAACGGACACGGTTCTTTACCTTGGACTCACCTTCGACAGAAGGATGACATGGGGCCCACATGTTAAAATGAAACGTAAGACACTTAACAAACGACTCAAACTACTTTACTCTCTTTTTGCCAAATCTTCAAAACTAAAACTAAAACAGAAACTGAATACATATACATACTTACTTAAGCCCATATGGACATACTCATCACAAATATACGGCATTGCTAAAAAGACCCACCTACAAAAACTTCAAACGTTCCAATCAAAATTATTGCGACTCATAACAAAAGCACCTTTGTACGTGACTAACAAAACTCTACATTCTGACCTCCACTTTCCAACAGCTGACCAACATATAACGACCCTATATCAACGATTTTGCACAAATTTAAATGAACATAATAACAGACTTATAAGAGACATGGCCACAGCTAACATACCTCAGAACATGAGCAGGAGACTAAAAAGGCGTTGGATGAGGGATCTCCTTCCTTAGACAACCTAAGTAATTGGGACAAGTTAGGGAAGAGGTACTGCTGAGTACTTTTCTTCCCCATGCCTGTCATGTCATTATATCATTATCGCCATCACATTTACTGATTGTCAACTTATTGTTGGCAGGCGCAAATACATATCTTATAGACAAAAAAAAAATTTTACACATAATTAATAAAGTAGTTGGGACTGAATAATTCATAACTATGAATATATTTAGAAGTGAATATTTCCTTAACAAACCGTTAACAGACGTACGTTTCTAGAAACTTTTTTTTTTGAGATCCTTAATTAATATTTTAACTTAGGGCACGTAATACTAAAATAATATGTACAACTAGGAATTTTTAAAAGATATTTTTACTTACCTTATAAAATGATCGTGTAGTTTAACCCATTTTGTCAGTTTCTTTTTAATAATCAAGTCACCACTCTTCTTGAATTCTTTTCCCAAATCCTGGATAGACTCTGACAAGTATATCAAGTACAGAGTCTGCGTCCTGAACAAAGTCAGGAAGAAGCAGTCGTTCGCGAACTTCTTCATGTCGCCGCAGAGTAATCCTAGGGTCTGTGAAATAAAGGTCACTTCGTATATTCCCGGTTTGTGATCATCGTAAGGGTAGAGGAGAAATAAAGGCTGTGTGCTCCTGTATTTTTGGTTGTAGATATCTATGAGTGGTGTGGGAATATTGTAGAGTATCGGTGTCCAAAAAACGAAAATTAGAACGATCTTCGTGAAGGAATTGTTCTTCTTGGCGATGGTAAGAAAGTTCTTCTGGAAATTCTCAGTTTGACCCAATTCGCTGTTGAGGATCTGTCTACTTAAAGCATCGCTGTTCTCCAGAAACCTTTTGATCCGCATGTGGTACAAGGTGTAATACACAGTTAGCATTGTTGGGTTACTCACAATACTCAAGACTCCACCTGCACGACATTTGTCCTAAAACAGATTGAGTAAAGTAAGAACTCTAAAATTATTTATAATCAATAAAGACTGTAAACGTTAGCAGTAACAAATATTCAGTAGCTAAATCTTTATACTTTCACTTACCTATATGTAAAATATATAGTAAGGGACAGTATTGCGATCGTGAAAATTTTCAACTCTTCAGTTTTCAACGGAAATACATGTTTTGAGGTCTCCTCCAAATAACCAAGTCCCACAAAATGGTGTGTGTGTATGTATGTGAACAGTCTAACTCAAAAACGAAAAGTCGTACGAAAGTGAAATTTCATATTTAAGTTTTGTATATACCTTGTATGTAATATTAACTTTTCGTAAAAATCGGCTAACCAGAAGTGCCCCTTTATATCAACGGTGAAACATTTTTCTCAAAAACTGCTTTAACGAATTTGATTAAACTCGGTTTTTCATTGTATAATTAAGTGGTCTTTAATATCAATTAGGTTTTTTCCCCATTGATTTCACATTACAGGATTTAAATACCCAACGTTCAAGTGCCTTTAATATAGTTTATTTTAAATAATGAACTATCTCACATTTTTAAGAGTTACGAAAAAAATAAAAATGCTTATCCAAATCAAAAATGGATCTCTGGAAATACTAGCCGCAAGATATACGTACAATATGTCGTTGGAAAGCGGAGAGTTTTAGAAAAAAACAAAACAATATCTAATATAAAAAGTTGTAGAAGGTAACGGAGAGTGGCGAAAAAATTATAAATAATAATTTTTAAAAAATTAATCTTATTTAAAGGAAGGAGATGGTCCGGAGTTGCGGTCATAAATAGTCTAAATAATGGTAAAACTATTTTATTGAAAGCCGACGTTTCGACCCGACTTTGCAGGTCTTCATCAGGGAGGTGTGTTCATCTAGGAGTTTCACTTAGAACTGGTAAAGGAACGTAAGGGTAAAGAAACTCAGTTCTAAGTGAAACTCCGAGATGAACACTCCTCCCTGATGAAGACCTGCAAAGTCGGGTCGAAACGTCGGCTTTCAATAAAATAGTTTTTACCACTATTTAGCATATTTATGACCGCAACCCCGGACCATCTCCTTCCTTTATAATGCAACGGTCAGCTATTAAATATTCAATAATCTTATTTAACGTTAATCACATGTTTTCAAGAAAATTAAATGAAAGTTATTAACTAAATGTATAATTTTAAAATATGTTTAAGTTTGAAAAGTATCAAAAATCCAACAAATCAAGGCAATGACATTGTTTAAGATACTATTTCATTGTACTTAAATGAAATATAAAAATATATAACGGATGTGTTTATAACCTTAATTATATTTAATGTAGTTTAATAACTCTAGATCTGATATTATATTATAATGATTAGGCATTTATCGTCCGTTTATTCCGAAAAATCATCATGTAACCTTTCAGAAAATGAAATTAGTGAATAATTTGATTTTTCCTTTGTGATATTCCGACAGTATCCACTTACAATTAGTGTTACAACTTTTGACCTGTCTTTGACAGACAATGCAAATCTCTTAATTCCATTTAAGTAAACTTTACAATAGAAAATAACAGTTTAATAACTAATAGTCGTACGATCCATAATCAACCGGTGATATTATAAATAGGACTTTTCTTATTTTAATGGTATTTATGATTTGTTAGCTGTAAGATTTTAGCTTCATCTAGCTTAAAAATACAATTAAAATTGTTTATAATAGTCCAACATGAGAGTCTAAGATGGTGAGAAATTAATGTCTATTCAAAGTTGAGTGGTTAGTGAAAGTTGTGTTGCGCGTACCAGATTTTTTATTACTAGTTAATTTATTGGTGGATGTTTGTCAACCGTTATACATACCATGAGTGATAGTCAGGAATCAGTCAGTTTTCACTTTATCATACATGCACTTGATATAATTAAAATTAATAATTATTTAGAGATATCTAAATTATTAATAAAATGTACACTTTCAAGTATTTACGTCAAAGTTTTTAAGCATTACAGCACTGTAGGCGGCGATAAAAAGCTGATAAAGAACGATGATGAATACCAAGAAGTTATAGAAAGTTCTGAAAGTTCTGGTCACCAATGTCCCTTCTTCTACCCACGGAAGATTGATTCCAGTATTTCTTAAACCTTGGATCACAGTTCTGTTAAAAAAAAAGAAAGTGTAAAATAATATCAAATAAGTTAATATTATGTCTCTATTAAAGTTTTATTCTGTTAATATAAACGATTTCTCAGTAAAAACTATTATGATAAAAACTGTCCCTAGTATAAATGTTTTTAAAGTAAATCATAACTCTATATCTTTTCCCAGTCCGCAGGTCAAAGTCTGATGCTGTGATGCCCAAGGAAGCATCTTAGGACCCATCCTTTACACAGCTTATAAAGCTAGTATCCATACTACCACTGATCTTTTATGCCGATGACATGTGTGATTGTAGACTGTGGGCCAGAACCCCCTATCGTGTACCCCACCCCCTCCACCAACATCACTATAAATTGCATATCATTGTGTTCCTTGTAACTATTTATTAAAAAAAAATCCAACGTTCCAACAAAAAAAAGTGAACGAACTGCCCCAAAATGGCGTCCAAAAATGGCCACTGACGACTTTAACTTTACATAGCTTTTTGTTCACTGAGAATCAGCATTTGGCTCAATTTCGTCATAGTTGGTCTTTTATTGAAGCTGAATAGTCAGAGAATAATAAAACATGAAAAAAAATTGGCTTAGGCAATAAAAACACCAGCAAATTCAAGCATCAAGTTGAAAATCAACCGTCGTTTGTAATTAACAGCCAACAATAAGGCAACACTTTCTGAATTAAAACATCTGAAGAATATATTTTTCTTTCTAAAACGCTGATTACTTTTTAAAATATTTGAAGCAGTTCCATAGAAAATACACTTAAGCGGCAGAAAAGCGGTAATGGCGTGGGTGCCTACAGGCCTCTACCACACCATTCAGTACTCATAAATGGCTTAGTTATAGTGCTATAATAACGTTTTTTGTACATTATATTGATTGTATTAACGAACAAATATCAATACAATAATTTAATTGTCTATAAAAATTAAACTTTTTTTTTTTAATTTATTATTATAATTTTTTAAATTAATTTCTTTTATGATATACGGAGATTGTTTAAGAAGGCCTCTATTGTAATAATGAGTCTTATTCAACATGATTTTAATTTTTAGATTCAATTTTATTTATCACAATTTAATTTAATCACTATTATTAAATGTAAAATCATTATTTTATCTAAAGATAGATTTAAATCATATCTATACATCATATACAATATGTATGAATATGATATGATTTATAGATATGATTTAAATCTATCTTTGTTGTTCTTTGATTCTATTAAAAATAATGCTTTTACATAAATAATAGTGATTAAATTGTGATAAATATAATTGAATCGAAAAATTAAAATCACGTTGAATGTGACTCATTACAATAGAGGCCTTCTTTCTTCTTATAATATATATATATATGATGTATGTACATGATTTTATATATATATATATATATATATGTATATATATATATATATATATATATATATATATATATATATATATATAGATATATATATATATATATATATATATATATATTATAATTATAGTTTAAATCATAATATAGATTTATAAATCATGCAAGATTATTTGGAAAAAATAATAATCTATTTTATATCCTGCTCCAAATCAAACACTAAGCTACCTTATTTTCTTTCTAAAAGGGACCCTATTCAAGTTCAACTAAAATAATCAGTAATTTTCATAAGTATTTTTTACAAATAAAAAATTCCTTAATCTGTTTTATTAAAAAATTGGGTTTTGAAATTACAGTCGGAATAGAAAATATAATTTTTCACGCTTCCTGAACTTTTCAAAACAATAATTAGGGTTTAGTTTGGAAATAAACAACTCAAATAATAATAGTTTTCAGAAATTATGATTCATAATTTGTTTGTCACTCTCCGTTAGCTTCTACGACTTTATTTGTTAGGTATAATTTTTTCTGAAATGTTTTATTTTCCAACGTGTATTATTATTCCGAGGTACAGACTCCTTTTTATCAAACTATTAACATCAGCCTTAAACTTCTTGAATAGATTCGTCCCATCGTAACCTACAAATATTGTATTTACAAACATGATCGGAATTGATGAGTTTTCAATCTGGAGATCGGCAAAATTTGTCTATTTAATTAGGTACGAAAAATCATGAATACTCACTTGAATCGTAAGATATGATCGGAGAATTGGAAAAAAAAAAAGGTGGCCTACAAACATATTGATCCATTTGGCGTGACCTCCTCTCCTAAAATGTCAAAATTAACTTCTAAGTTATACCGGCCAAACGGCCTAATATTTCAGCAAGCTATCTTCGATGTTGTGATCATATTATCTTACAATTCAAACGGGTATTCATGAGTTTTAAGTACCTAATTCAATTAACAAATATTATATAGTACGCATGTGTTTTAAAAGTCATTTTGATTAGTTTAGTTGTTTTGTTTCTATACATTTAATTTTATTATTATTAGTTTCTGTATTATTTATCTTTATTATTGTAAATAGAGTGTGAATGTGCTCTCTGAACACTACTATAAATGTCCTTGATTGTGACAGATTGTAATATTTCTGTATTAATAAAAAAAAAAATTAAATTACCCAAGTTTGCCGATCACCAGATTGAAAACGCCCCAATTCATAGAATTTTCGTAAATAAAATATTTGTAGGCAACGATGATATGAAGCTATTTACGAAGATTTAAGCGGGTGTTAATAATTTGATATGAAGAGATCAGTACCACGGACTACATACGGTACTGATATTTGTTGTGTATTTGACTACACTGATACATGGATTAAAATTTGTTCAACGATCGACTAGGAATTATCAGAATAATTGATTCAGATAATCAATATTTATGTTTATCTTCGTCCAACATACGAAACTTTCTTCTCTTGTGAGGAATCGAACAGAAATATATATATATATATATATATATATATATATCCTCGCGCGGGCTCATTACCGCGTATGGGGAGCGTCCCACGGGTGGCGGATGTGGGGATGGTCGGTGGAAATTCCTTGGAAGTTCCTCCCGGCTAAGTCCGATGGACTCGCTGACCAACAATGAGAGGGGCCCTCCAGACTTGCTGGAGGGAGGGGACCTCCAGTCTTGCTGGAGGTAGGGGCCCACCAGACTTGCTGGAGGGTGTGACGTAGGATTGAACGCCCTACTCACATATCTTTAGTTCACCTAACACCACAAAAAGTCATGGATCTCCCTAAGGTAAAACGCTCATTATCCGGAGGTAAACTAGTCCCCCGTTCGGGTCTCCGGGTGGGGACTGCTTTAGGGGATTCATGCCGCAAGTTGAAATATAGGGATTTAAATATTGGTACGTGGAACGTAAGGAGTTTAAACACAGCAGGGGGGCTAAAATCGGTCGCGAATGAGGTAAATGGGTACAATTTGGATGTCGTGGCTCTGCAAGAGGTTCGCTGGCCAGGGGAGGGCTCGATGAGGGAAGGAAAGTACACTATTTGGTACGGAGGAAGCGGGAATCATTGTTTAGGTACCGGGTTTCTAATTAGGAGTAGATTACTATCCGCTTTGAGGGACGTACAATTCTTTAGTGATAGAATTTCGGTAGCTACATTTCAGGGACGTTGGTTTAAAATCGCATTAATAAACATACATTGTCCGACCGAAGACAGTGACGATGAAGTCAAAAGTGAATTTTACGATAAACTCGAATGGGTTTATGATAAACTACCGCGAAACTACATGAAAATAATTGTAGGTGACGCGAACGCAAAGGTAGGAAGGGAAGAAGTTTATATTCAGACGATTGGTAAAGAAAGTTTGCACGAATATAGTAATGATAATGGGATCCGTCTGATAAACTTTGCCATCTCGAAAAACCTGGTAATTAAAAGTACGACGTTCAAACGTAAGGATATTCATAAATATACTTGGACATCGCCGGATTCGCAAACACGAAATCAAATCGATCATGTCTTGATACAACACAGCTGGCAAAGCAGTATAATCAATGTACGGTCTTATCGCGGAGCAGAATGTGGGTCGGATCATGAATTAGTAATCGCGAAACTTCGACAAAAACTTAATATAAAAAAGAGAAAAGAAAACCGTTTCGATTTTGAGAATTTTAATTTGGAAAAATTAAAAAATCCATCAATTAGAAACCAATTCGAGCTAGATGTTAAGAATAGGTTTGAAGCTTTAGAGCTTCCTGACGAGGACCACGAGGATATTGACAAGTTATGGGTAGAGATCAGGGATAATATTAAAGCGGTCGGTAACTCGTGTCTAGGAAAAAAGGAAAATAAGAATAACAAACCGTGGTTTGATGAAGATTGCTTAAACATGTGCGAAAAAAGGAAAGCCGCTAAATTAAAAGCTCTAAATAATCCTAGCGAAGACAATCTGGAATACTTCCGAATCTCAAAGAACGAAACGACAAAATTGCTCAAAAATAAAAAAAGGGAGTATCTCAAAAATAAAATAATTGAAATAGAAACTAATAGAATCGAAAATAACGTAAGAGACATGTACAAAGGTATAAACAGATCACGTAAATATGTAGGGCCCGTAACGTCTGGAATTAGGGATGATAATAACAATATTCTGACCGATCCGGTTGACATATTGAATAAGTTTAAGGACCACTTTGACAATATTTTAAATACGGGAAATTATGATCTGTGTCCTCCTTCTGAGTACCAGAGTGCTGAACCGTTGATAGAAGGACCAAGTAAAGAGGAAGTTGAAGTAGCTATCGGTAAATTAAAATCATATAAAGCAGCGGGAATCGATAATATTCCTACTGAACTAATTAAGGCATGCGGGGAAGCTGGAGTTTCTAAAATACATCGCTTGGTTGAAAAGATCTGGGTGAACGAGAAATTACCTGAAGAATGGAAAGAATCTATTCTTATTCCG